GACCTACGCCCTAACCAACTAGGCCACGAAGACAGTTGCTTACGATGCAGCGTGATTATTGCGCCCCTGAATGTGACTGTAGGGAGAAGGTGTGGCGTGGGAAAATTTCGACTTGTGTGATTTGAGGGAATTCGGGAGCGACGTAACAGCGTAATTTTTTCAAAAATGCTCCACCTCAACACCGACTCGCGTCTGGGCTGACCGGTAGAAGTGACGAACAGGGGCGGCAGACCCGAAACCGAGACGAGAGCTGTTGTGGCTCGTGAGCCAGAGAGTGAGAGAGAGCGCGCGCGTTCTCGAGGGTCGAGCGTGCGTGCGCACAGATCCAATCCAACCCAGCACAGCACAGCAAAGCCCACCGATTGCGCGCTGCTCTGGCCCTGTCCATCCCCAACCGGCAAATCGCGACTCGACCGGTACGCTTCTTTCCACCAGCTCCTTCACTTTCGCAGGACCCGCTTCCGGACGACCATTCTCGCGACAGCGCCGGCTCGCAACCATGGACGACTCCGCCAAGGTCCTCTCCGAGGCCCTCAACGTGGTCAAGGTGCAGCTCGTGCAGATGAAGCGATGCCTCGATGCAGACCAGGTCATGGATGCGCTCAAGAGCGCCGCCACCATGCTCTCCGAGCTACGCACCTCGACGCTCTCGCCCAAAAACTACTACGAGCTGTGTAAGTTTCGCTTCTTCCACCTGCCGCGATCCTGGGGCAGCAGGCCAACTGACGCATGTCCACCCCCGTACATCTCTTCGCAGACATGGCCGTATTCGACGCCCTGCGCCATCTCTCCATCTACCTCTACGACGCCCACACCTCGGGCAAGCACCACCTCGCCGATCTCTACGAGCTCGTCCAGTACTGCGGCAACATCGTCCCGCGCCTCTACCTCATGATCACCGTCGGCAGCGTATACATGTCCATACCCGACGCACCCATCAAGGAGATCATGAAGGACGTCATGGAGATGAGCCGCGGCGTCCAGCATCCCACCCGCGGCCTCTTCCTCCGCCACTACCTCAGCGGCGCCACGCGCGACTACCTGCCCGTCGGCCAGGACATGGGCCCCGGCGGCAACCTCCAGGACAGCATCGGCTTTGTGCTCACCAACTTTATCGAGATGAACAAGCTCTGGGTGCGTCTCCAGCACCAGGGCCACTCGCGCGACCGCGAGAAGCGCGAGATGGAGCGCAAGGAGCTCCGCATCCTCGTCGGCACCAACCTCGTCCGCCTCAGCCAGCTCGAGGGCGTCGATCTCGAAATGTACCGCCGCACCATCCTCCCCTCCATCCTCGAACAGGTCGTCAACTGCAAGGACGTCATCGCACAAGAGTACCTCATGGAAGTCGTCATCCAGGTCTTTCCCGACGACTTCCACCTCCGCACCCTCGGCCCCTTCCTCTCCGCATGCGCCGCACTCCACCCCAAGGTCAACATCAAGCAGATCGTCATCGCCCTCATCGACCGCCTCGCCGCCTACGCCGCACGAGAGGCGGAGAACGACAGTCCAGAGGAGATCAAGCGTCAAGAAGAGGAGGCGAGCCGCCGCCTGGCCGAAAAGACGCGCCAGATGAGGATGACCGGTCAGAGTGCAGGCCCCAGCTCCGTCTGGGACGAGGTCACCGCTCAGGGCGATCCCAAAGCCAAGAAGGCCGACATTGCCGAGCCCGCCTCTCCCACCGCTGCCGACCTCAGCAGGATGCCCCCACCACCCGTCGAGCCGAGCGGCTTCGGCATGGCTTCTGCGGACCGCGACTCGGCGGCCGCGCCCAACGTCGCAACCCACAGCTCTGAAGAGCCTGTCTTCCGCAGCATCCCCGAAGGACTCGACGAGGACGCTTGGGGCTCGGGAGGCAACGCCCCTAGCAGCGTATCGGCCGCAGGTTCCGCTTCCGCTACTTGGGCATCCCAAACTGATGACGGCACTGCAGCCAGCAGCACAGCACACACGGCAGACACCGGAGCGACGTCGACGCAAGCTGGCGAAAGCGGCGAGGAGCACAACGCCCGCGCCCAGGAATTCCCTTCCGCCGGATTCGGCGCTGCCAATGGCGCCAACGGCAACGCAGCAGCGGCCAACGGCAACGACGCCGAGAAGCAGGCCGCTGCACCCGCACCGACGCAAGCTCAACGCACAGCAGCGCTCTCCGAGAAGCCCGTGGGCAAGTTCCGCGGGATCCCCGAGGACGTGCGTCTCTTCGAGGTGTTCTGGGAGCAGATCGTGCAGCTCATCCGCGCGCGCCCGGACCTCTCAATCCAGGACATCACCGCGCTGCTCGTCTCGCTCGCCAACCTCTCGCTGAGCTGCTACCCGGACAAGCTCGAGTACGTCGACCAGGTGCTGGCGTTTGCGCGCGAAAAGGTGGTCGAGTTCGAGCAGAGCCCGGACCTGCACAGCCCCGCGACGACGACGCACCTCAACTCGCTGCTGCTCTCGCCCATCAACTCGTACCTCACCGTGCTCACGCTGCTCGCGCTGCCGTCGTACCTCTCGCTGCTGTCCGTGCAGCCGTACACGACGCGCAAGTCGATCGCACAGGCCGTCGTCATGTCCGTCCTGCGCAACGAGACGGTCATGTCGACGCCCGAAGACGTCAGCGGCGTGCTCGACCTGTGCAGCCCCATCATCCGCGACCACAAGGACGCCATCATCCCGCACGCCGGCATGCATGCAGCCGCGGCCGGCGCCGGCGGACACGCGGCTTACGCACACTACGGCGGCGACCCGAGGATGGCGCAGGGCGCGTACGGAGGCGGGGCGCGCGGCATGGGGCGCCACCACATGATGCAGTACGACATGGAGGAGATGGCCGAGGAGCAAGGCTGGATCGCACGCATGATCCACCTCTTCCGCGCCGACGAGCTCGAGACGCAGTTCAGCCTGCTCCAGACCGCGCGCAAGCACTTTGTCGACGGCGGCGAGCGCATCAAGTTTACGCTGCCGCCGCTCATCACCTCGGCGATCAAGCTGGCGCGGCGGTACAAGCTGCGCGAGACCAAGGAGGAGGCGTGGGAGACCAAGATGCTCACGCTGTACAAGTTTGTGCATCAGGTCATCTCGGTGCTGTACAACAAGGTCGAGTCGTCGGACATCTGTCTGCGGCTCTTCCTGCTTGCGGCGCAGTCGGCCGACGAGAGTGGGTTCGAGGAGCTGGCGTACGAGTTTTACGTGCAGTCGTTTACGATCTACGAAGAGTCGATCTCCGAGTCGCGCGCGCAGCTGCATGCGATCGGGCTCATCATCAGCACGCTGCAGACGGCGCGGGTGTTTGGCACGGACAACTACGACACGCTCATCACCAAGGCGGCGCTGCACGGCGCCAAGCTGCTCAAGAAGCCGCACCAGGCGGCGGCGGTCATGATGGCGAGCCACCTATGGTGGCAGACCGAGGTGCCGGGCCATCCGTCGCGGCTGGCTACCAGTTCGTCGTCGGCGACGGGCAATGCGGCTGCCAATCCGAGTGCGGCCGTGGGTGCGCCGGGTAACGGAGCGGGTGGCAAGGAGTCCAAGCCGATCCTGCTCAAGGACGGCAAGCGCGTGCTCGAGTGTCTGCAAAAGTCGCTGCGCATCGCCAACAGCTGCATCGACGAACGCAGCACCGTCGAGATCTTCTGCTCGGCCCTCGATCAGTACCTCTACTTTTTCGAGCAGCAGGTGGAAGCGGTGGCGCCCAAGTACATCAACTCGCTCGTCGAGTTGATTTCCAACGGTTTGGATTCGCTCATGGCCGAGCCGGACGCAGGGGCTCCCGCTTCGCATCCTGCCATTGTGGGCGGAGGGTTTTTGGAGATGCCCACCACGCCCGATTCGTGCCTGCGCCACTTTAGGGCGCAGCTGCAGTACATCAAGACGCGCAAGGAGGCCGCCGCGCTCGTTCTCGCCAATGCCAACCCGGCCGACGGCGACACGCCCAACAACGGGCCGGACTGGGGCGCGGTGCACATCAGCCCGAGCTTGGCCAAGTTTGGGCTCAACTAGGTTTCAATGAACGAGGATGTATCTGACCATGTCGCAGCAGTATGTGAAGAGACATTGAGTGTCGAGGATGAGTCTTCGTGACAGCCTCTGTGTCAGAAAAGGATCGCAGTACTCCACTGGGAACAGCTGACGTCGTCTTCATGCAAGAGATGCGTCTTGCCGGTCGCCTTCCGCAACGGAATTCGTTCCTCGCTTAACACCGGAACTTCGGCCCACTGCCCCACCAAGGAATCCTATCTTCTGACTCGGGCATCTTGGATTCGCAACATGAATTGGCAGATCCGAGAGGTCCATAAGCATGACCGTGCCACCTATGCCAAGGTGGTGGTACCAGAAAGCCTTCCAGCAGTTTGCTGATCATGTGCGGGTCCTGCATCTTTGGAGCATCCACGGTCCAAACAGCCCGGATCAGGCTCGAGTGTTCTGGGGACAAGATCTACCCGGCTTCAGTCGATTGGACGCTGGACAGTCATGAAGCGGCGGTTGGATTGCACACCGCGATCGGAAGAGCCGGAGAAAGATTTTCAAGCAAGGCAGCTGGGTGATACCGAAGCGAGAGAGTCGGACATTCGCCGTGATGGTCGCATTCGAGGACGATGAGGGCACTCACGAGGACATCGACTCGAAGCTCCAGGCCGTCTTTCGATTCTTTCAGTCTGCTTTTGTCCGCCCTGAATGGTCCCGGTTGACAGAAGAGGCGGGCTCTATACTGCTCGAAAGCATCAAAACGCGAATCAGCTCGACCAGTCTCCTCGAGCTAGAGAAACCCTTCTCTGCATCCGAGCTCAGCATGATCCTGGACATTTCTCGAAGGGGACCCGCTCCTGGTCTTGATCGCTTCACATTCCCTGTCGTTGCCGTCATGGAGGAGCCTTTTCGGGAAGCTCTTTGCTCCCTCGGAAATCCGCTCATGGCGGGGCAGCCGCTGCCCGAGGGGAAGCCAAACCTCCGGGGGGGGGGGGGGGGGGGT